ATTGGTCTGGTATTCTGTGTTGTTGTTGGCGGAGCTCTTTACTACATGTCCACCCAATCCGCCATCTTGTTTGTTCTCTCCATTTGCATGATTTTTGAAGCATCTTTTAAAATCTTTTGCCTATTTGAAACAATTGGGTTGTTAATCGACTCAGTGAAACTTAACAACAACAACATACTTGTTTAATGTTGAAAATTATATTGTGCACAAGTCCTTTATAAGATACAGTAAAACCTACCAAAGCTGGGACTTTTTAAGTTAGAAACTTGTGAGAGAAGAAAAACTCAGATATTTTCCACTAATGGTGATAGAAAAGTGGTAGGGCAATTCCATTAACGTTGAGTTCAGGTTCTAACTGTGTATGCGTTGTGCAAATATTTTCTCCCAGTCTGTGACCGTTCATTCTCTTAACAGTAGTTTTTGAAAAACAAAGTTTTAGTTTTGATGAATTTCAACTTATCAATTGGTCATTTTGTGGATTGGGCTTTTGGTCTTGTATATAAGAAGTTTGCCTAATTCATTGGAGGTTTTTGATGTTAAGTTGCACATTTAAATCTATGATCCATCTTGGGTTAATTTTTGTTATTCAGAAGAATGGAATAAGACCTTGTATCTCACACCATATACAAAAACAAAATCAACAAGTATTAAAGACCTAAATGTGTAAAACCTTAGCACTATAAGAATCATCAATGAAAAAAATGGGGACAAACTTCTTGTCGTTGTTAAGTGTTGTGGAGTCATTGATGACTTACAGTGGCCCTGCACAGGGTTTCCAATGAGCAAGTGGTAACTTTAAACTGCCAACCTTGTAGTTCAAACCAACCTTGAAGTCTAGTACTTTATCCCTCCCACAGCACCACACCAGGACTCCGAGGACAAGCATAGGGCTTCTAATACATGGCATAAATACACTATCAAGCATTACTAAAAATAATACAAAACAGCAAAAGATAAAATAGAAGACTGGAATCTTTTAAAAATTAGACACTTATGTGCATCAAATTATTTTGCTAAAAGAGTAAAAAAAGACTGGGAAAAATTTTTTGCTATGATGTATCAGAAAGGAGAACTAATTTCCAAAATTT